GGCAAAGAGATATCGAGGGACCAAATTGTTATTTATTAACAGGAGGGCAGAGCACCGCTAACAGCTGAACGTGTCCTATAACAACCAACGACCGTTATACAAAGTGATTTAGAAACTTTAAGCTCCAAGGCTAAAAATTCAAACTGTTTAACTACCGATATTGATAACAGTACATTAACTTGATACTGGTTTTTGATATAAATTGCTACACCCCCACCTCTATTAGGGCGGTCGGTCCTAAAAACATTATAACCACTTATATTGACTTCTTTATCTGAAACCGATTCACTTAATCAGTATCTGTAGAGTGAGCCCAGATACACAACATGTCCATTTTAGGAACAAGACTGCATACATTCAAATGAAAGAAACCAAGACCAGACCTTTCTTTAAAATCTGCCGGGGTGTTAAAGCCTATAGGGGTGTCTGGGTCTGGGTTTGGCTGCACATTTCCTGACATCAACAGTAATAAAACAAATAAACATTTTAGCTTAAATGATTTCTTGTACGATTCATTGCTTCTCCGACCAAAATTGGAATCTAGGAACACACAGGAGATAGTGGTAAAATTGTCACATAACATCATAATACTAGACAGACAGACCAAGTCAACAGTATCAGAGGGAAAAATAGGGGCAGAGGGAGTGATGCGACATTAAGTGAACAGCCAAATGCGCACATGCCTTTATATGATTCACACAGTATTGGGAGCACTGGACTGGAATAGCCATTCCAGTAGTTGGTGCCCCCAGAGATAAATAATAACAAAGAAAAAGTAAACTGAAAAAGGCAAGGAGCAACCACTTCTTTCTCTCCATGCCCATCGCACCACCCAGACGTAGAAAGACAAAATATTACATAGGATCCAAAAGCAAAAACAAAAATCCAGTACGGGTTATCCGTTTCTCAGCGGCGACCGATGATGTTGCGTTTTGTCACTCGTAAACAGGAAGACAGGAAGCCGAGGCAATGCTGCGGGCAAAAAAAGTCAAAATCAAGGCCAGCCACCTCTAAAACATCAGGCTATATCTCAATATCTCAAAGCAA